GTCTAAACAATCTCTTAAATATTAATTTAAAAAAATTATTAAACTCCTGAGCAACCCGGAATAGTTCGGGATAATTGCGTTTTTCTCTTGCATATACTTTTAGTTGAATGAACGAAAATTGAATATAGTATTTTGGGTAAACAGAAGCTCTTCACTGATATATCATCGTATATAAACATGTTAGCCATTTAATATGACAATATAACCTTCATTTAAAAAGGTAATTATATAATTGGTGCCAAATCCGGGAATGTGTTTATATTAGAAGTGGTAATTAAATTTCTTGAATATAATGACTGATGCAAAATTCTTCACCAATCCAAATAAGGTGATAATTTGCCTGCTTCCGTTCTTAATAATTGTGGTAAAATCTAACTCCATCAAAATGAGGGCAGTTATGATTTTTTTCGACTAATTGGGAAAATTGCTCCAACCTATGAATAACAAAGACATTACTTTTTGGTCTGAAAATCTTTTCCAATCAATTGCCCTAGTTCAAAGCACTCGTTTTTCCTGTGAATGTTAATCAATCTTTCATTTTAATTTTATCTATGAATTAATAAACTACTTTATCTTAAGCTAAATTATATATTAATGTTTTAATAAGTAAACTTATTTTTTAGCCTTTCATGCGACTCTTTTGCTACTTAATTCAAACTAGTAGCAATTCTTCTATTTCATAGAATTCCTTTAATTAGAAAAGAAAAGAATTAACAAAAGTAATGCTAAAGACGCTTGAAATTATGTGCGCAAGTTTTAAAGATAAGTAAACTATTTTTAACATAATTAAATTCTTGCAGAACGCACGTTCTTTGGGCATTCAACAAATAAAGGTGTTTTATAAGGCTCTTCTAAAGTAATCATCCTATTTTTCGACCTACAGAAGGGTTGGAACGCCCATAGTCCATTTCCATCGCATTTGACGTCTTTCATAAACGTTTCAAATAAATGCAGGAAACAATGAAAACGTTGATGACGACTTATGAGGCAGTATGTTTGGAAACTGACTCCAGGAAATTGGAGTTAAAACCTGTATCTCTTTATCTAATTATCTTACCTGAAAAGACTCTGCTTCCTTTTCCCATGTCCTCTGATGATTTCTCGCTCAAGTTTTAAGGCGTTAGTCTTTTCCCCCCTGCGAACGCATTGTGATGGCATTGCTACTGTTCAACTGTAGCTTCACCAACCATTGGGCGTGGGAAGCTGCGAAACCAAGAATTTTCCAACTCTGCAGATTAGAACTCCTCATTTACTGACTCACACTACCTTGAATTAGAGATGAAAAAGAATGAGGTATTGTGTCCAATCAGCTCCTAGACTGTTACCTTCATTTTACGGCGAGGAATTTGGTTTTATAATCCGGGAAAACAAACAAGGGAGTAAGAAGAATATTAATAGGTAGTTGACAAGGCCACAAAAGTTAGGCATAGTTTTTTATGATAATTAAAAAACCGAGACATTCACTCCACGAAGCGAACGCAGTGCTTTCACATTTGCTACTATAGTGAGATTCAAATCACTACTGACTTCATGAGGAAACCCTTTCCTTCAAGGCCGCAATCTCTCCCTCTCAACCTGCTACTGGAAGGAACACACCAAAAATATTGTGGTATGCGTTTTCTGGCAACAAAGATCAGAAACTGAGTTTTATGAGACGCGTTTCAGTGGATAAATAAAAAATAAATCTCCTTGAACAATAAAAAATGGGGCTTTCAAATTTCTCTAATGTTATAAAAACCTTATCTTACTATGAACAGGGTGCGTGATAGACTTACCTCCACGTGGTGCACACTGGGCAACGTATACTCATACTGCAAAAAGTCTATTAACTGGCAGTTGACTTCTGAATTCTAACTACAATCACCCCACTGTATGTCACATTCGACTACTTTCACAGTACTCACATCACCTTTTTTCTACCTTTTTCTACACTTTGATGTTCCTTCCCCCCTATGAAGCCTGAAGTCAACTAAAGGACTAATGATAGTTATCAAAACGCCTGCCATTTGAAATAAATAAATAAATAATTGAGACCATTGGCAATCCTGTAAACCAAGAGGAATTAGACATGGCGGTTATTTATTTACAACCGTCCTAATAACGAAGCTTTATAGTAAGTCGAAATAAGAAGCTATGAACGAAATAAACCTGATAAGTACAAAACACCATCACTAGGAGTATTTTATAAGTGCAAGGAGCATAATATGTAATTTGCCTAAATTTAGAACCCTGCAGCTTGTCAGGATTGAACAATACGCTCTTCATTACGAGCAACTCAGGAGAGGGGAAAAAGATCGTTCTAAATCCTAAACAGGTAGCCACTTGATTGAAATAGTGAGGAAATCTTATTAGGTGAAGAATTTAAAAAATGGCAAGATTAAAACACACCGAGCAGCTTGAACTTCTCTCCAAAACTTAAAGTTTGATTACATAAAAAATAGCAAACAACATCAAATAAACAGTTAACGGCACTGTTCTTAATAAAGAAACAGCATAATGAAAGGAAAATGCAAATAAACAAAATCACATTGACCAATAAACATCATTATTATTATTAATAATAGTCGTTATTTTGCAGACTCTGTCTGTCTGTGAGTGAGTTTTTGATAGACAGGGAAAGGAGCAGTGTGTGTGCCTTGTTGACTGACTGAGTAATACAGCGTAAGTGGAGGTACATTAAGCGCCCTCAGGCAAAAACCTGGAAAACACACATACAATGGAGACGGGCGCTTTGGCTATCGATTTAGACACACAATAACGCACACACACAAATAAGAAGAGAACGTGTACTATGGTGGCAAGAACTGTCGTCCCTCCATTCATTTGGTTTCAAGAGAGAGTGTAATAAAATCTGCGCCTGTTGCATGCAGCATTTCAGAGGGACACAATGGCAGATAGAGAACATTGAGATATCGACATAGTGGGAGTATAGCATTGGTAAAACATTAACTTTATTGGCAGCAATCGGTGGTGTGTTTTGTTATTACTGATTATTAGTAATAGTAGTAATGGCATTAATCATCCTGACTGGCGCCTTATGATAGATAATGGTGCCTGTGTTTGATCCAAAGTTATTGATTCGAGGTAGAGGAGTAAAAGGGTGAACGAGGAAAAAGAAATGAGGGGAGACAGAGACACATGATTAGCAAAATTGCACAGAGAAGAGGGTCACAAATGCGCCGATGAATTCTTGCGTCAAGTGATTTGCTACCGTTCAGATGGTGGTGGCCAATTGGTGACTGAAGTGGTAGATTGTTGATTATCCTGCTGAGCTACAACCTGCTCTGATTGAGTTTGATCTTCACCAAGAGCCTGGAATAAAAAGAGAATCACACGTCAAGGAATGTGTGAATAATAAATTGAAATCATGATTTTAGGCTAGCTCGGCTAGCCCCAAACCTTGATTTCCTGAAGTTTGTTTATGGCTTCCGCTGGGGGGATGATTATCACGGAGTTAGCTTGATTCTTGATTGTTGAGCTGTTGGAGACAATAGCGGCATAGGAAGGATTAAGGAAGCCCACAAGGACATATCGGTTAGGTAGACTGGTGTGGATTTCGAAGGCGCCTGAGTTGTCCACGCCGCCGTTATGTTGATCTAGAGCGTTCGAGATGGTAATTCGAAGTACATCGAGGGAGAATTGGGGGGATATGTCCGAGAGAAGGAGCCATGAGGTATTCCAAATATCGGGTGGCTGGAAATCGGGACCCGAAGATGACGCCCAACGACGGTCGGCAAAGGAGGCAGAAGGAAAGACGTTGTTACTGTTGCTTGTTTCATTTGATGAAAGGAAGGCATTGTTGGATGACATACCGTGTCCTCCATACTGCTGCTGCGTGGGAAGATCCCAAATTCCTCCTCCACCTTCCCATGGCAGTCGGCGATTCATGTCTACAGATAGCGAGATTGGATAAGTTGTACCAAACGATATGCTTGTATTTAAAAAGACCATAATAATCTAACCTAA